GCATGGATGTCGTTCGTCCGCTCCCTTAGTTCGTCTGCGGCGTAGTGGCGTGGACGGCCGCGTTTCGCCGGCCGACGGCTGAGCGCGCGATCTCGTGAAGTGACCTCGCTGCGCTCAGCTCGGCCATGCACCCTCTTTGGAATTTGCCCGGGCGGGCTCTGCGGCCAGGTGGCCAGGCCCGACCGCCGCACCTCTTACCGGCGACTGGGCCGCTGCGTGCGCTGCACCGCCATGAAGAGGGCTTCTCTGGTGCCGTTTTATGGAACTACGCCGCACGAGGGCCAATGCCAGCATCGTTCCTTGATGACGCGCGCCAACCAATGGGAGCCTACCCATCAGTTTTCTGGTACAGACGAAATTGGGACAAGGGAAGGGCCTGTTTGGCGAGGCTTCAAAGTTGATGACGTCGGTTCGCTCCATGAGACAGTTAATGCTTTCTCATTAAAAGTACTTATATGCATCAAGGCGAGGTTTCTTGAGCTCGATGTGACGCTTCATCGACATGTGCTCTGTGATACTCGTAGCGCCTTTCCCATTTTTTACGCTGACCGTTATTCGGCAGTACTTGCACACCACGGACGAAAGGTCGGTACACACGTCAAAATCGGCGAAATCCTTAGCTTAACCATCCGAAACTTTACGCTTTCTTTCCATCCTGCTGTCTTCGATCTGGTTCGTGTGATGTGAAACTTGAAATGTTATTTCTTATGTCATTTTCCCGATGACAAAGCAAGGTTTCTCTCCATTCTTTCCCTGCACCCTACCACTGGGCCCTGGTTATCACTGTTCTCCCGTTCTGACTTGAATAAGACAAAGACAATGAAACTGTTATCACCTCAAGAGAACAAGAGCACTGACTGTGACTGGCCTCTCGGACCACTGATAGTGATCTTTCAGGTCAGTGGCCCAGGAAGTCCGCTGTCCTTGGAGAACAGTGGAACAAAGATACTGTCCTCCAAGTGTCCAAGACCACGGGTCACAAAAGAAAGACAGGCAAAGTGCATGATTCCGGGCAAGATAATGTGCTTGACGGAAGTTTGCAGATAACTTTTTCAGTGAAAAAAAACAAAACAAAAAACATTGTTATAAAACAAATATTTAAAAACCGGGTTTTTAACTATTTTTATTTTCATCACCCGCGGATGTTTATCGGCGTTGCCGTCGATAAACACCAACAAACATCTACTCATCTATAAGGCACTACGCAATCCTCAGAGCTGAAGCGGTTCATACACCGCTATTCACATTAGCTGGCAAAAAAACAAACCTCTTTATCTGACAGAGCTACCGACGGTGCACTGTCAAGCTGTCAATAAAGTGTTGTCTTTTTCACGGGTGTCCCATGTTCTGATTTTATAGTTGCGGCGTGATTAATAGACAGATTGGGTGATTACTCATTTCTGAGAGATTACTAATATGGCCAATAAACTTCAAGAATATTACAAAAAATAGGAAAATTACTTTTATTGAAGTGAGGAATTCTAATTGTGTTAAATTGCCACGTGCGACGCACAATTCGCTAAGCTAAAAAAAAAAAATAACAATTTCGGTGAGCTAATATCTCCGGCTTCCGCTCAAGGGCCGGTGAGCTTTTCTCCGCATCTGTCGGTTTTGCGGTGAGCTTTCTTCCGGTGAGCTTTTCTCCGGTGAGCTTTCCTCCGCCGCCCGTGGGAGCATACCTTCACTGACACGATCAGACAAAACATTTAATTATCTACAGAATGCGTGACTCACGCAAGAGTGAATTGGATTATCTTCATTTCGTTCCGTAAGGACGTACTTATTTTTATGTATGTGGTTTTCTTGATTAGGTCATTCACTTAAAAGTGCGTCATGCCCTGTCTACCTACTCTATCCAATCCGCGTTTTATTTTCTTTATTTTTTGCGCAGTCCGTTAAAGAGCAACGACCAACTGGCTCAACTAGCCATCTTGATACTATTTAGGAATGCCAGTAATCTACTTCGAGGTCCTCATACCTCTACTGTGGCATGTTCTTGGGGAACAGGAGCCAATCGCACCCGCAACACCGGGCGCCATCTGAGACCAACTGGACTCTGCAATACACGACACTTCAAAATTACTCACACCTGCCATCTACATCTTCCATGGACGAGTTCCCGAACGCCCGAGGGCATTCTGCTACCACCACCAGAAAGAGGGTGACCCTAGACATTTGACTCCTGACCAGCGCCTTCCTTAGTTCAGCGACACTGACAGCCTGAACACCGCGTATTTACTCGGGTAATAGCCGCACTATTTATGAACAAGGCCCTTGCGTCTGCTTTTCCACAGAACACATATACACCCAATCATCGCGTGGCGCATAAATTACATAGCGAATAACTAGATCGAGAACGCGATTCTCCATGCAAATGCAATTTTCAAAGATGGTATCTTCACGCGAATACGTTATCTCTGTCCTGTAAACCGCTGGAATCATGCTGTTGATTGCGGTGATTGGCAATTTGCGTGCCGCGGAAAAGCGAACCCTCAGGTTTTCTTTGTAAACAGTGCGGCTATTACTCGAGCAAATGCGGCAACTGAGGAAGGCTGATAAAACCTATCACAGCAACGCATCCTCTTCCCCCTTTTCCCCTCCCGACCTCAGGCCCTCTTTATCTGGCCCTTTATTCCACTGTTTCTGCGGCTTGGTCCAATTCACGAAGCTTGAGTTGTAGATTGAGAGTAATAAACAGTTCGTATTGGGTTAAACCTTGCGGTTGTCATTTAACAACAGCCCGTTTTCCAAAATATTGACCTCTACGAATCTAAGTTATTATTGGACCGAATCACTCCCGAAAGAAATGATATGAACGGCTTGTTCGTCTTATCCTGCATCACCCCAAGGAGTTTTATTACAGCAGAGTGCTCAACCTCGTTCGTGGTTTTATAGTAGCTGAGCGAGAGTACTTGCGCTACTGAAGTACGCACAGTAATGACCGAGTCCCTCTAGAGCGACAAGCAAAAACTACCGACACCGACATGCCTCAAACACGTGCAGCATGCACACGATGGTGCACTTGGCACACTTGCAGTATCTTGGTACTCGTGAAGTAAGCACGAGTGATAGTAAGCCTGCCAAAGATACGTTTCCGTGCTTGCTGCACGCGTTTGAGGCTTGTCGCGGTGTCGATTGATTCTGTTTGTCGCTCTAGTGGAACTCGGGCATAACGGCACAGAATAAATGCGAAAAAAAACGGTGCGGCGTCCGCGCCATACCTACGGTGCCTCCTGACAGCGAAGGACGAGGGAAACGGGGGAATATAGTTCATCACTCTGTGCCCTGCGTTAGATGTCATATTTCTACGTGCCACTGCAAACATCGTTAGCTTCGCGCTGTACCATAAGATTAACACAGCTCGACGTTGCTATTAAACATCGAGTAATATTACAATAAAGCAGCCAATTAGGACGAATATCCTGAGCCATTGCGCTGCAAATAACGATACCAATGCCCACGTCCTGTCCTCATTTGTGAAATCGCTGACGATCAATTGTTTGCGCTCGACACCAGGGGCGACGTCCAGGGACCGAAATGCATTCCCGGTGCGAAACACCCACTCTAATTTCTCCGGAGCAGTGATGCCAAGTTTCACCATATTCGACCCTACTGCCCCTGCCGTTCGTAATTTTTCTATGCGGAGCGCAAGTTCGTCTGCTTCTTGCACAGGGTTTGCGATGATGCCAGAAAGTCCAGCTCTTATTGGCTGATTGAAAAAAAAAAAAAAAGTGGGTAGACCTCAAGGTATCTAGCATTGAGGTCTACCCAATGTCCTTTCAATTAAGGTCAATGAAAGTTCGGCGTCGTTCTGACGTCACCGCAACTTCAGCGCAAGAAGCAGACGACCCGCTCTCTGCATTGAAGAATTACGAACGACAGGGGCACGGTTGACACTGGTTGCTTCGTGATTGGTCCTTCGACGTTCTTATAAGATAATTCTGCAATCTGATTGGCTGCGGAGCGACAATATGATGCTCAGGACCTGCTACACACTGCGTCTCTCAATCTGTCAGTGACTATAAAGGCCCGTTCACACACTTGCGACCTCTTAGAACCGAGTACCTTGGAACCATCTCTCATGACGAGAGGGCACACTGGCGCCATCTACTGGGTAGCAGTGTAAACATGGCAGTCTCGCATATTTTTTATTTCTCTTGCGCATTATCCTTTCTTTCTTGGCTCGAAAAACGTTCGTCAACGTTATAAACGTTCATTTCTCATAGGTAGTAAGCACATTTGACCTCGGAAATCCCGATAAACCTTCCTTCTAGTGAAATGGAGTTCCAGAGTCACCGCATTGATGGCGCCAGCGTGCCAGTGTATTTTCTCGTCCTAAGAAATTTTAAGAGGGTTCAACAGGTGTCTCTATCGGTCGTACTCGGTTGCAAGTGTGTAAACGGGCCTTAACTATGACTGTACTTCTCGGACCGAAAATACATAAATGCAGTGCTGTCCTTTTTCTTTTTCTTTAAAGGGATGCTGAACCGAAATCTGGATTCCCCAAAACACGCGGCAAAAGCGTGCAACGGGATGCTACAAACACCAAAACATCACTCATACAGCGATATCTCGAACGGATGACCGTATTTTTCAAAAAAGGAGGCGCATTGGCAGAGATGTTGACGTCATGTTTCTCCAAGAAGGAGAGGAAAGGGCCTCGCGTCTTCTCCGCCTCACCGCCTTGAGGGAGCGAATCAAAGAGAGGAGGAAACAAGGTATCTTGACGTCACGCGACTCGTCGGCCTGGTTCAATCTCGACCTCTTTTTCCAAAAATACGGCCGTCCATTCGAGATATCGCCTTACGAGTAGTGTTGTAGGGATTGCAGCGTCCCGCCTACATCTCCCGCATTGCTTTTTAAAATCCAAATTTCGGTTCACCATCCCTTTAACGTGCAAAACGTTTAGAGCCACGACGCCACAAAATCAGCTCTGTTTCGGCTGAAAATGAACCAATGCGACATAATTTGCTCCAATAACATCAGGTCATCGGACAAGATTTGGCGAAAACATAAACAAGCCAAACTTTATTGAGGAAATCTGCAGCGATAGTCGCCATCGTCCCCTATAGCTTCACAGATGACTCGATGCATACTCCTGGGAGCTGGGGATAAGTCTGCGTTGGGAGTCTTTCTTGGGCAGCGAGTATAGGAGTTTGTCCCAGAAGTGCGACTCTCCCCAGCGAAGGAAATTTGTGACCTGCATATAACGTCGTAACTCTTCGTCGACAGCGTCGGAAGTCACCTCGTCCACAAGAACGACGATGAGCCGGTTGGTGTTGTCTTCAAGTGCACGATGGTGGGCAACTCGGAACTCCCAGCGGCACCACTCGCTCTCTACAAAGTTCCTGCGTGTTGATGGTACAGATATAGAAAAAGTGGGCTAATGGACTCATGGGAAGTTTGCGCTAACCGAATTGAGCTACAAGCGTTTCATGGGCTCCTTTGCTTGTGTCGTCGTGCGCAAAGTTAACGGATACACGGTAAAAGTGACCTGTTCTTGCTGCGGGCACTCATTTTAAGCAGACGTCGTACAGCCTAGGTAATAAATAAAAATAATAAAAATGTTTTTTATTTAGCTATTTTCATTTTAAAATTTTGTAAACACTGTTGGAGTGCATGACAGCAGTCGTTTACATAATCATACAGTTTTATGAACAGACAGCAAAGAGAACAACCTTACTGGTTCACATCTTTCTACACAAAGAAAGAACATATATCTGAAAAATTTGCTAATAATCTTTTTCTTTTCAGGATCACATGCCCAAATTGTTTCATAAAACTTCATTAGACATTTTTCAAATTAAGCTAATGTGCCACAATTAACGACGTTTTCAGGAGGCTTATTCGAACCTTTAACTGTTCTTACCAAAAAAAGTATTTGTATGTAGCAAGGTGGTAAGTTGGGTAAGTTGGTATGCATTGATGGCATGGTGATAAACAGCGGCATAGACAGCGCAGAAGAGACAAAGACACCGTAGGAGAAAATACAAGAAAAGCGCTGAGACGATAAAAATAAAAAAAGGAACGTGTCCATAATGTCATGAACACGTTCTCTTTTAATTTTTATCATCTTCTTTGTTCCGTTCTTCTATGTTCTATATATTGAGTTGCGAGTCAGCGCTTGTCCTGCCTGTTTTCTTTTACGGCGTCTTCGTCTGCTGTGCGCTATTTATCACCATGTTCAACTTGTATATAGCATTATTAACACGTGAAGATTTAAGGGTCCATTTAAAATTCAAAGGCCCAAGTGGCGTATGCCCAGGTGTGTCTCGCTACCTTGCGTAAAAGCTACGGCCTAGGCGAGAAAGAAAAAAAAAAAAGCCGAAGGATACCGAATCAATTAGTTCTACTTACTTGTGTTCGTTTAAAGTAGTAGTTGGATCAGACTACGGGCGACTGGACAAAACTCGGGCAAGTACAGATGCCTGTATAGACTAGACACATTTCAAAGGGCGCTCTAGCAATGGTCCATTCCTTCTAAATTGAAACGAAGTACGCAAAATTAACTTCTTCAATTGAGAATATATAACCTGAAGAGTTATCAGTTTCACTTGTACGACTGCTTTTTAAAAATATAATGTGTCTTTATCCGAACGTTTGCTCAAAAAACTAACCCGCTATTTATTCGATGGTCCTCATTTTCACGCACGAAAAACGTGGCAAGCATTTCCGGTATGTTCAAGTCATTATTTAAAACTTAGTAGCCTAACATCCGTTGATATACAATTTACTCACGTAGTTGCGACAGCGTATAATAAACTGCTCTCCGGAACGTTCCAACCTTGAAATGGTAGAAATGAGGTGCCAAGTCAAAAGCACATATGCCTGCTATTGCCGTCATTTCCTGTGCCGAGCACCGTAGACACAAACGCAATGACACATCGCTTTAATATGACAACGAACTTTTTGTTCTGTGAGCTCAATATTGCCGCGCGCGCAGCTGGCCAAGTAGGCCGCGCGCGCGTGGCCTAACGGTTATCGCGCTTGCCTCCCACGCAGAAGGCCAGGGTTCGATTCCTGGCCGCGGCTACACATTTTTGTTGGCAGTGTAATTTGATGTTCTGGTGAATTCGAGAATCGTCTTGGCTGATTCGAGGTTAGAATGTTCTACGCGCCGAACCTTCTACGCAGAACGGTCCAGAAACCCACGAGGGTACATAAGGGATTCCGCAAGGCGAGCGGAGTCAGTTTCGCCCCAGCGTTCGACTCGGCTGCTACGCCGACTTCGACGCCCGCGACGCTCTGTTATTATCTTTTGTACCTTTTTATTTTTGGCACAAGTTCGCCACATTAAACGTTTATTTATTACTGTTTATTTCTTGTTTATTGGTCACCACCCGTGACAATATATTACAATTTTTGTATACCTGTGACAGTTACAGGATCTTCATCCTGAAGGTCGCTCTCGTACTTTCACGAAATAAAGCTATACGAAGGAAACGAGACGTTATCTGAACTGTCATTAATTCGGCGAAAATGAATTAACAACCTGTGATTATGACTGAGTTCCGGTCCGGCTTTACTTACTCTGTCAACAGGAGGAGGATGCGTCTCGAGCAGGCCACGGCTTCATGAATGATATCTTGAACTAGGTAGCCACCCTTAAAGTTGCGGTCATAGGTGCAGATGGAGAAGCCGTGACTCTCTATCTTGGGAATGAGTTCGTTGTAGGCCCAATTGGAGTCTTTGCTGCTGAACGATAGGAAGACGTCGAAGAGCTTATCGTCGTCTAGGTCGTCTTCTTTGATACACTGAAGCCGGCTGCACAGTCCCCGTGCGTACAGCCACACTTTAATCTCTCGCTTGTACTTGAGGTAAGCGGTCGACGCCGTCAGGGCACAGGCTAGAAACACTGAAGTGAAGCTTGTGTAAAACGCCAGTCATGGACACATTGATATAAATGTAATTGTTAAATCTAAAACAATAAGGTTTCATAAAAAAAAAACACCATTGTCCTACTCTAGTCAGAGTCTCGATAAACGGGCCCACATCATAAAATAAAACAGCTTACGCTTGAAATCTTATTGGTGTCACTCAACAAAGACACGCAAACTTTCAATTTAATTTTAAGAAATTACCTAAAGTTTCTGGCTCATTTGAAGCCACGCGTGAAAGCACATGATTAATAACAAATTCAACATAAGTATAAATAAAATTATCCAATGACATCTCAGCATTCGATACCCTGTAGTGGCACGCACCTGAAAGCTGTCAAGCTCGATTATAACTCCGCTTTTTTATGTCTTGTAGTAATCTCGTGCACAGCAGGATCTACAGATGGTAATTAAATTGACTAACGTAGAAGTCTGGGCTAGTTGGTAATTCATTATTAAAAATTTTAAAAAGCGCAAAGACACTGACAAGAACGAGAAGGCAGACGAACAAGGCGCTGACTTACATCTGAAGTTTATTCATGCTGACATCGAGTATAAATACTGCAACGTAAAAACAAACAAACCAAAAGAAAATATATGACATGGACGCCTCGTGCTCCATAAGCCATCGTCACGCGCTGTTACTGTGCGTCTAAAAAGCAAAAAAATTTTTTTTATCGGGCAGAGATAGTGATGGGAGCGCTCACACAGTTTTCCCACAATTTTTCAATTTCCCGCGCTTCAATAATTTCTCGAATCAGTTTATCTCTGTTCTTTCCAATCATTTTACACTTGTCGAAGACGGGAGTGCAACGACAGTCTTGGCAATGCTGGCCGAGATAACCTGACAGGACCTTATAAACGTTGTACTTATGCTCTCGCAAGCGATCATTGAGACAGCACCCCGTTTGCCCGACGTATCTCCTACCTCAGGACAGCGGAATGGAGTACACTATTTTCTCCACACAGTTCACAAATTGGTCATGATGTTTTTGATGCATCCCTGCCTTTCTTTAGAATTGGAGTTCACCTTTCTGCACAGCCCAGACAGCTTTTCCGGAGCTGAAAAAACTACATCAACAGCAACCCTTCGGCCAACTTTCTTCGGGTTATGAGAGATTTTATGCAGGTAAGGTAAAACCATTACTTTTTTATTTACCCTATAAGCCTGGTGGGTTGTTTTCTCACGTCCTTTCTTAAGTAGGCTATCAGCAACGATCGTCAACAGGTAAGATTGATATCCTGCTTCTCTGATCCTTGAAGCTTGTGTGTCGACGCTCTCTTTTACCCTAGGACAGGACTTGAACAGGGCATTTTGAAAACAGAGGTTAATAATTCCCCTCTTTACAAGTGTCTGAAATATCCTTTCCACAAGTGTCTGAAACCGCTGGTGCTGACGTATAAAGTACCTGTAAATGGAGCCATTGGGTTTCTGGATCTGAGCCTTCAACTTGGTCATGGCCATGTGTGCTGGATATATGAGCCTGAGGCTAAGACACCCATCTTGCCTTTTTCCTTAGCGCTTCTGAACTTGTGAAAAGGGGAATTATTAACCTCGGTTTTAAAAATGCCCTGTTCAAGTCCTGCCCCCGCAGGGTAAAAGAGAGCGTCGACACACAAGCTTAAAGGCTCAAAGAAGCAGGATATCAATTTTACCTGTTGACGACCGTTGCTGATAGCCTACTTAAGAAAGGACGTGAGAAAAAAACCCAGCAGGCTTATAGGGTAAATAAAAAAGTAATGGTTTTACCTTACCTGCATAAGATCTCTCATAACCCGAAGAAAGTTGGCCAAAGGGTTGGTGTTGATGTAGTTTTTTCAGCTCCGGAAAAGCTTTCTGGGCTGTGCAGAAAGGTGAACTCCAATTCTAAAGAAAGGCAGGGATGCACCAAAAAACACCATGAACGACTTGTGAACTATGTGGAGGGAATAGTGTGCTCCATTCCGCTGTCCTGCGGTAGGAGATAACGTCGGGCAAACGGGGCGCTGCCTCAATGATCGCTTGCGAGAGCATAAATACAACGTTTAAAAGGTTCTGTTTATAGGGTTCGCCTGCATTGCCGAGACTGTCGTTGCACTCCCGTCTTCGACAACTGTGAGGTGATTTGAAAAAAACAAAGATAAACTCATTCGAGAAATTATTGAAGCGCGGTAAATTGAAAAATTGGGGGGAAAGCTGTGTCAGCGCTCATCACGATAAAGAATGATGCTTTTTAGACACACAGCAACAGCGCGAGACGGTAGCTTAAGGAGCACGTGGCGCCCATGTCATGTATTTTCTCTTGGTTTGTTTGTTTTGACGTTGCAGTATTTATATTCGATGTTAGCACGAATAAACTTCACTCATAAGTCAACGCCTTGTTCGTCTACCTTCTCGTTCTTGTCTGTGTCTTTCCGCTTTTTTTTAAATTTTACTCAGGTAATTAAATAAAACAAATAAAACGTACGTGCGAAATACGCGAAACAATTTGTCCGAATATGACGCTGTTTTGTTGCATTTTACTCAAAACAGATAGTGTCCAATAGCAAAGTTTTTACTGCCACTCGTTGTCGAACATGGCGATATGCATTGTCCTAAGAGTTTCGATGCCAGTTAACTTTCTAGCCATGAGAAAGGGATTAAAAACAAAGAACCAGATATTGAGATGCCAACTGCGACGCGCTTTGCATCAATGTATTCAACATTGACGTAAAATGTATATTTTGTTTACGCAATAACTCGAGAAGTAAAATAATTATACTATACCTAGTACATGAGCTCCATAGAGCAGCAATGCTGAGGTGGCTGAAGGACAGAGTTCCTTCTGTCCTAATTTCATAAAAGGCTTCATAGCTTCCGGAGTATGGGATTGCAAAGAGCACATAATTTCATCAGCATCTTGAACCTGCACGTCAAAAAGACACGGCGATGAATTCTCAACAAAACGAGGGCATTACAGGTTTCCGAATAACCGGACGCGCTTGACTCAAAGGACGTGTCGGTACACGCACATTTGGGCTGTGGACGTACTGCCCTGGCAGAAACTGCAAGCCAAATAAATTCATGATATCGACCAATTTTAACTATAAGCTTCTAAAGCAGGAAGCACCCCCCCCCCCCCCCCAAAAAAAAAAAAAAAACTATAAAATACTTAAATACAATATTATTTTTTAAAAAAATAACTAGTGAGACCGGGGTAGGTATTCTGGACCACTTTTGAATTGAAGATTAAACATACATATACTGTGAGAAGTTATGTTCAGTGCTATGTTTTTTGTTTAACCAAGCGTGGAGCTCTCACGCAAGGAAAGTATATTCTAAAACAACATGCTCGCGCTCATGCCTCATACAAAGCTACACAAGTCTTTGAACGGAATAGTCCATACGTTATGTGCTTTGCACCTCACAACACGCTTTTTATCAGACGCTCAAGCAGTGTCATTAGGTCTCAGGTTAAATGAGCGCGTGATAGTGTGTTAGTTTGAAGCCAACAAATGCATACCATGTACGAGTTAGCTTCTGCCCATTGCCTGAAAGCGTAGTCCTCGCATTTGCAGTGCCAAGGATTTCCAGCCAGCAATATGCTGGTCAAGTTGAGTTTCTCTACAAGGTCCAACGGTAGCCGAGTTAGTTTGTTGTTCCTCAAATTCAAGTGCCTCACACTGTCAGGAACAACCGCTGGTTCAACGATGCTAAGGGTGTTATTTCTCAGTATCAGCGATTCAATGCTTGGTGCCTTCTTTACAAGAGTGTCATCGAGGCGCTCCAGTTGATTTCCGCTGAAGTCACCTATACGAGTGCCCTTTGGGAAGTATTTTGGTATGCGCATTAGGTGTGCATTTGAGCAGTTTACGTAAATGTTTTGCTCAGGTGAATCGTCCTCATAGCAGTAGCAAGCACAACTCTCGAAGCAGTCAGTCGGCCATCTTGTCAAGTCTTCTTTAGTCATATTGTGAAAGAGTCTCCCCCTTAAAGGTGGTGGTCCTTCACACACAGGACTGCCTTGTTGTACTCTATGTTGAGCCATCCGCAAAAGCCAGGACATCCGGCAATCGCAAGTGATCGGATTTCCTTAATAAAATAGAAACATTGTTTCAGAATTTCCACAAAGAGGTCGAGTTAAGAATCAACTAAACATATTCGTTCACCATTCACTTACTGACCTTATATTCCCAATGGGAATCCACAAATCTATGGACACCATAGAATACGTTACTAGAGCAAAACAAATTGCTTTCATGACAACTAGACTTACATGTAGTGGTATAGAAAGAACTTAATAGAAAGAATGTTTGTCAGACTGATAAGAAGGTATGCATACTTCATAAAATACTGAGTGGCGTAACTTGGCCATTCGGCACCCGGGGCCCTTATGTTTTTCATACCCCCCCCCCCCTTTCTCCTTTACTCACCAAGATCGCAACCAACCAGTAAAGCAGGAAAGGCCGGGGGGGGGGGGGGGGGGGGGGGGGGGGGTGCCAGGTGCTGCCAGAGGTGACACCCCCCACGTGACTGGGACGTCTGGTACCCCAAGGCCCACGGCCTCCCGGCCCCCCGGTTGCTACGCCACTGCTTCGATTTTAAAGAAAGCAACCTGTATTGCTCCAAAAACGACCATTTCTCTCATACATAAACAAGATCTAATTGAAAGGAAGTATTGAAGAACACTTCTAATAATCAACCCCCCTCCCAACCCACTCTATAAAACCTAAGGAAAAACAAAACCTATGGGAGCCACCGCTGCAGGGTTACCTTACTCCCTGGACTGACTTAATGAAATAGGACGAGGAGTCATAAATATCAATCATGTGCCAGGGTGTAAAGCTTCATTATTCTCTGTAATATGTTTTTCACATACTGCGATTCTCCGACCAAAATCGCTGCCGCTAGCGGGACGGCGGCACGGTTCGCAAGGTTTCATTTCACATGAGCGTTTTCTGCCGCTGCAATGCCCAATGTTGCTTACAGCAAGCGGACGCGCCCAAGGGGTTTCTGTGGCTTGCAGTATAAACCTCACTGCTTTATTTATCGTTTATATTTTTTTTATTTTATTTTATTAAAACTACAGGCGTTTTAAACACACAAACAGAATCTTAATGTGACTTAATGCGTGGCGTTTTTTTGTTTTTTTTATGCTCGTTGTCACAAACGTATTTGAGTTATTCCCAAGGAACGCGATTACATACACGTTGTGACAGAAAAGGGAAGATAAAAGAGGAAATCGGATTTTACAATGTCTTTTCACAGAACACAGACGCACAGGCTAAACCCCTTCAAGTCTAGACACTGAAGCAGAAAATAAGCCCACCAAAGAGGACCCAGCACGAGAAACCAGATCGGCTGTGTATTGTTCTTTGCATGTCTGCTCGAAAGGTGGAAACGCCATCCTATGTGCACTCTTTCCCGCAGTGTTTCTTCTCCTATCACGTGGTCCCCCATCACGATGTGAATGGCCAGCGAAAATGCTGCTACTCTACCGCTCTGCCGCGGCGAAAAATTTCCAACCTTATGGAACCGCGCCGCTCTGCCGTTGCGGCTGCCGCTGCAACGGATGCGACGCGAATCGCGCCGCTCTAGGAGTAAACTTTTACACGACACTGGTAATGTATTTCAAATTATAAAATTATGTAAAGGAATCCGCAATACAAGTTGCGTACAAAACCTAAGAAGGGGGGAGGGGGGAGGGTTGGTGTCACACAACCAAAACTAGAAATAAACTCACCTTCAAACACAAGAATTTGTAGCCTCTGCAATGAAGCTGGAAAACTCGTTCTGGGTAGCGTTTTTAAATTGTTTTTTTGTATATGCAAACTTCGTAGTTTTGGAGATGTCTGAAAGGCCCCTTCAATCGTGCTGAGATTGTTGCCGTAAGCATATATAAAGGTAAGTTCCGGATCGTTGTAAAAATCGTTTCCGTATAAAGTTTGAATCGCGTTATGAGAAAAATTTAGTATACGAAGCTGGGGCATGTGGCTCACAGATCCGTTCAAGTGCAGCAGGAAGTTGTCTGAAACGGACAACAAGTCTAGGTTGACGAGACCCGAGAAAGCCCTTTTGCCGAGCCATTCTATCCTGTTTTCTGCAAGATCAAGATACTTAAGATTTCCGTTATTTCGAAAGGTGCCATCGCGGATATATTTAATTCGATTGTTTCTTAGCATTAATTTCCTTAGAACAACAAGCTGCGTGAATGCGTCGGTTACATCATCGATCACGTTATAGGATACATTGAGGCTGAGCAGTTTTCTGGTTCTGCTGAAGGTACCTGCCAAACTGATGATATTGTTAGTCCCTCCACTGAAATACAGTAGCCCTGACGCCCTGTGAAACGCCGATCCGTTTATGTGAGATATTTTGTTGTTGGCCACATCAAGATATGTTAATTTTTCTAGTGCACGAAAAGCAAATGGATGAATATAAGATATCCCACAATTTCGAAGACGCAGGATTTCAATCTTGATGTTTATAGGTCCGAAGTCAAGTATCGAATTCATAAAATTGTTGTCTGCTGTTAATATTTTGAGACTCTTCAGATCTCCTTTTGCGAGTTTGTCTATGTCAGTGATGGCGTTGCCATATAAATAAATTTCCTGAAAGAAAAACAAACAAACAATTAGCATTAGCATACGGTTGAGGTTATGCTGTAACAGCTTAATTATTATTTAATGTTGTATACACAAGATGCTGAAGCATTAAAACAAAAATATCACCATTCAGTGAAATTCAAACTGTCAAGTTTAAGAGATAATTTTCTCAACATGTTAGTATTAGTTTATAACTTCTTACCGTTTCAACTATTTATTCCCTTCACATGCTATTTATGCGAAAGTTGTACATTAAAAAAAAAAAAAAAAAATATATATATATATATATATATATATATATATAGTGGCCGAAGAGAGGGAGAGTGATTATTAAATTTATTGCATCAAAGTTAACCTAACTTTAATGCAATAAATTTAATAATCAATCTCTCCCCTCTTCGTTCACAATATTGCTACACCTGCACCTGTAAATCTTCCCTCACTCCCAATATATATATATATGGGTGGTTTCATCTCAAATCGTGCAGGCAAAAAGGGTCGAATTTTTAATTTCGATGAAAAAAATATATGTTATGGCGCCGTTTCTAAAACCGCAGTCGACACAAACCGCAAGTTCGTCGGATTTTTTGTTCTCGACTTATGAATTTTTAAAGAGGCCGCGGCGAAAAGCAGTGTTTTTCACACCCGTCGTGGGTCGGATGTTTCGCTTGATCTCCCGCCATGGATTTTCAGTCCACATTATATTATCTTTTTTGAAGCACTCTGTGGAGACATTTAAAGGGCTCCAATACCATGAAATAATTTTAGGCATTTTGCTTTTTTTCTGTAAAAATGTCAAAAACGCCTCCTCGGTCAACTATTGACGAACTTTGACAATTAATTACTGGCGATCTACCTGGGTTACACCGATATTTTTTATGTCCACGGAGAGCCCAAAACACGCTCTTTATATTTATTATAAAATGCCTTGGCTGTATAAATTATCCTTTGCGGTACGTTTACGTTAATATTATGCAAAAACCAAAAAGTGCCATATTTGAAATTGATTTTCTCAAAAAACCCATTTTTTATTTTTTTTATTTTTTGTTCAAATGTAGATATGATAGTTGTCTATACGAAAATCAAGCCTAGAAAGTGTATATTTTGTTTGCATGTTTTATATTTAGGCCTCAATATCGGAAAAAGACGTCGTTGTTTTGCAAGACCTAAGTCAGACATAGCGACCCATGCGTCTCTATGAATTGTGAAAAAGTTTTCTTGAATTTTCTTCTGCGTTTTGTAATCAATTATAAACGGATTTTGTGGTATTGAATATTTATGTATGTTTTGATAAGAGCGGGAACCATGAGATACATATCTAACCAAATCAGCAGGCCTAGTAGACTTTCAATAACCAAAAGGCACAGACGTTGTATCGTTTCGATTTATAAACCTTTCAAAGTTAACTAGCACGACTAGCTATTAGCTGTCATATTACTAAGACAAAGAAAGTCACCACATCGTCGATATATTATATACAATTCTTTACGAAACCAAACACTGGGGCTTGTTCACCGCACATCGCACAGGTCACCAGGGAATGGCCTTTCACTTCCGTAATACACAAAAGTGGTGACACAGAAACGGTCCGAAACACACAGAGAGTGTGTCATGGGGAGGGGAAGGAAATAAAAATAAATAAATAGGAACTAAATTCCCAACTCCGATCTTAACGAAAATTGCGTTAAAAAATAATAAAGTATTTAGGTTCGAGCGGTGGCAAGGCGATAGGTCCACGCCTGGTGGAGAGTCAGACAAAGAAGTCGACGGCACGTAAAGGTAAAACAAAAAAAAAAATCAATAATTTAATAAAGACGGGAAAACTCAGCCGCACATGGCAAGAACAAAAACCAACTCCCCCGGGCATTCCCTAAACGGGACGCAACCAAATGCGTGCGAACACGCTCTCTACATCACCGCCAGGCCGCTACGCCATGACGAAATAAACCCAACAACTGAACAGTCCTAACAAACTGTTAATAAGAAAACATTGAAAAAAAAAAAAAAACGTTCAGAAAAAACCGCACCCGAGAAACAAAGTTCAGCGGGGCGAAGAAACACACACGAGTCGGTCCCAGGACATTGAAGTCTGGCAGGATGACGGCGTCCAGATGATGCTCGAATCCGTTCCTCCCTCTATTACGCACATCCACGACGGCTGTGCGGGAACAGTGGCTGTACGAAAGAAAGTGAAGAATAGATTCGAGCAGGCGATGCGCGAGAAGGTAACCGAGACTTTGCTTCAAGCTTCATATCGGGAGAGGAGCTTTCGAGGTAGCTTCTGCAGTTACTCAAACTTTCTCTTTCCCCTTTCCTTTTTCAAAAGAACACGTCAGCCGGCGCTAACGTTTCATCTCGGGAGAAGCCCACTCTTCACAAACGGTTATAGTTGACAAGGAGGCTGACTTCGACCCAACTAGTCTCCGGGCAGAATACAAACACAAGTATATTTAGCAACACGCTCGTTTCAATGTCAGTCTCCGGGCTTTGCCGTTTCCAAAAAAAGATAACCCTTTATAAGGACAGAACGAGCGGGTTGGTGGGGATAATTAAACTTAAACACTCCCTTCTCGTTTTCTTCCTCAAGTTTAATAGATAACCCTTCGGTGCTATCGGATCTCCCCGGAGAGAGAGAGAGAGAGCACGGCCGTTTCAAGGTAAGGATAGGGCGTTCGAAGCTAGGGCAAACAGGCGGTATCGTTTCACGCATGCACGGATGGCTGGTTTCAAATTTCCCCACCTCCCTAACGGAACCGGCCCATCTTCGTGTGTGCGTCTGCAGGATTTCTGTCCCGCGCCGCCGGTTTTAGCGCGCACGCGGCGTTGTTTTGGCTGGCAGAACAGTTGTTGACCGTCGACATTGTAAGGCCGTGGTGTCCTCATCCTTTCAGGCAACGATTCCTTTGCTTTCCCTTGTGCAATACTCTGACAGACTCCTCCTGGGTGGCTGTCACTGTTCGCCGCGTCAACGACACAATCGTACCACTTCACTCCTCGTGACACAGGGTGCGCTGCTCGCTTTACTGTCACGGGCCGTCCGATCTAACACAACGAGCGCGAAAGGTCGTGGTCATCTGCTGGCTCCGAAAGGGCGGGACGTTCATGCAGGCCGATGAGGGCCCCGAATCAATAAGACGTCTGCCGACTCCTACACGTTAAAAATTTACGACACCTGCTGGTCTGTTAAGACGTGTTGCTTTCTCTTTTTGGAACTCCTCCGATGTAGCTTGCCGCCTATAATAAAATTTAAATAATCAATAAATATATCAGGGTGGAAATACTGTATTTAATTTTTATGTGGGAACGTTGAAAAAAAGAAAAAACTATTTCCAAGCTTGTGAAGACGCGCAATTCGCAAGTCCATTTCGAGCCGTAAAAACACGTTTTTGTACGATATTGATGCTTAAATGTAGAACATACAAACAAAATATACACTTTCTAGGCTTGATTTTCGTGTAGACAACTATCATATCTACATTTGAACAAAAAATAAAAAAAATAAAAAATGGGTTTTTTGAGAAAATCAATTTCAAAAATGGTACTTTTTGGTTTTTGCATAATATTAACGCAAACGTACCGCAAAGGATATCTTATACAGACAAAGCATCTCATAATAAATATAAAGAGCGTGTTTCGGGCTCTCCGTGGACATAAAAAATATCGCTGTAACCCAAGTAGATCGCCAGTAATTAATTGTCAAATTTCGTCAACAATTGACCGAGGAGGCGTTTTTGACATTTTTACAGAAAAAAAGCAAAAGGCCTAAAATTATTTCATGGTATTGGAGCCTTTTAAATGTGTCCACAGAGTGCTTCAAAAAAGATAATATAATGTGGACTGAAAATCCATGGCGGGAGATCAAGCGAAACATCCGACCCACGACGGGTGTGAAAAACACTGCTTTTCGCCGCGGCCTCTTTAAAAATTCATAAGTCGAGAACAAAAAATCCGACGAACTTGCGGTTTGTGTCGACTGCGGTTTTAGAAACGGCGCCATAACATATATTTTTTTCATCGAAATTAAAAATTCGACCCTTTTTGCCTGCACGATTTGAGATGAAACCACCCATATATATATATATATATATATATATATATATGGGCAAAAGTGATGTGCGCAGACACAGCAGCCGTAGGATGAAAAGAGTAAAATTCTAATTTAATGGCGAAAAAAAGTCACGCAAGAAAAAAGGGTGAAGTGCCGAAAAAAAGTTGTATTAGTTTACGGGAATAATGAAGACTAGGCACAAGAGCGCTAATTACGTGGGAAAGAAACTTCTAAACAGGACGGAGTAAAAGTCAAAGTTAACACACAAGAACTTACAAAAATAAATTGTTAAATGAAAAATGGAATAAAGAATTGAAAATAAAAAATGAATAAAAATAAGAAAAGGGCCTGACGTCCGTCGACGTTTCGGCAGTGGCACTGCCTTCTTCAGGACGGGAGCCCATATGGCGTGGTAGGTTAGTTTTATAAAATATCTAGGGAGAGGGTTAGTTAACGCGAAAGTTCGAAGGGGTTTGTAGGGTAAGGGAAGCACGGGGGGGACGAGTCCAATTTTGTCGCGATGAGGGAGGCGGTTCTGGGTTTTTTTCACAGGTGCACTGGTGGTATGGAGGAGCTCGTAGGGAAGGGGAACACAGAGGGCAAAGTCCAATCTTGACGCGATGAGGCATGACAATTGTAGGTTCTGTTCGCCGGTGCATTGGTAGCAGAAGGAGCTTGCCGGGAGAGGAAGCGCCAGGGGGTATGAGTCCACTTATGTCGCGGTGAGGGATTAAGGTTGTGGATTTTGTTCGGAAGCTGCCTTCCGAACAAAAGGAAGGCAGCTTCCGAACAAAATCCACAACCTTAATCCCTCACCGCGACATAAGTGGACTCATACCCCCTGGCGCTTCCTCTCCCGGCAAGCTCCTTCTGCTACCAATGCACCGGCGAACAGAACCTACAATTGTCATGCCTCATCGCGTCAAGATTGGACTTTGCCCTCTGTGTTCCCCTTCCCTACGAGCTCCTCCATACCACCAGTGCACCTGTGAAAAAAACCCAGAACCGCCTCCCTCATCGCGACAAAATTGGACTCGTCCCCCCCGTGCTTCCCTTACCCTACAAACCCCTTCGAACTTTCGCGTTAACTAACCCTCTCCCTAGATATTTTATAAAACTAACCTACCACGCCATATGGGCTCCCGTCCTGAAGAAGGCAGTGCCACTGCCGAAACGTCGACGGACGTCAGGCCCTTTTCTTATTTTTATTCATTTTTTATTTTCAATTCTTTATTCCATTTTTCATTTAACAATTTATTTTTGTAAGTTCTTGTGTGTTAACTTTGACTTTTACTCCGTCCTGTTTAGAAGTTTCTTTCCCACGTAATTAGCGCTCTTGTGCCTAGTCTTCATTATTCCCGTAAACTAATACAACTTTTTTTCGGCACTTCACCCTTTTTTCTTGCGTGACTTTTTTTCGCCATTAAATTAGAATTTTACTCTTTTCATCCTACGGCTGCTGTGTCTGCGCACATCACTTTTGCCCATATATCAACGGAAGCATTTGTCAACATTCGTCACTCTTTATATATATATATATATATATATATATATATATATATATATATATATATATATATATATATATATATATATATATATATATTTTTTTTTTAAGAAGTTCTGAAAGTTACACTTTTGCGGTAAAATAGGGAGCTTATTGTAATGATAAGTTAGCTAATTAAGTAAAGTTTGTTAATTAACTTTTTAATTGATGAAAATAGGCATATGGTTCCAATTAGAGGCTTTACGAGTGGTAACTTTAGTGCACTACTACGCTTCTCAGGCGTTCAAAGTCTTTCTGAAAATTACTATTTATAGGTTTTCGATTACGCTGAGCAAGTTTCTAATTGGAACTATATGCCTATTTTTATTAATTAAAAAGTTAATGAACGAATTTCAACTAATTAGCCGACTGATCATTACGATTAGCCCCCTGTACTGTCCCCCTGGCCGTATAACTCACCTGCGCAAACCGCATTAATCCAGCTTTCATGGTTCTTTTTTTTTAATTTTGTTAAGCTTAATATATACAGGGTTGTTTTGTTGCTTTTTAATTCTTTCAGATTTGTTTTAAAAATGCCGTGAAAGCTACAATTATTCGGTTTGTGCAGTATGTGCAAACCGCGGTATACGGTTATACAGTCAGGGAACATAGTCGCAACAGTCAGTCGGCTAATTAAGTAAAATTTTTTAATTAACTTTTAATTGGTGAAAATATATATATATATATAGTTCCAATTACAAACTTACTGAACATCATCGAAAACCACTAAATCAACCCTTTTTATAAGGATATAACGCCGGGGCAGCATTTTATGGCGTTCTGTAAAAACGCTTGATTTGGACGCGTCTCTAGATTTCGATTTCTTATCGGAGCGCATCTTTGCGCCCGTGGTCCTACTCCCCGGTGGTCGCGGCGCGAAGCCACATCCTCGCCTCCCTCGTAGAATGGAGGGAAGTAGGACGCATGTGTGTTGCGCGTCTCAGCCACTGGGGAGCAGGACCGGGGGCGCGTAGATGCGCTCCGATAAGAAACCGAAATCTAGAAACGCGTCCAAATCAAGCGCTTTTACAGAACGCCATAAAATGCTGCCCCGGCGTTATATCCTTATAAAAAGAGTTGATTTAGTGGTTTTCGATAATGCTCAGCAAGTTTCTAATTGGAACTATATGTATATTTGCACTAATTAAAAAGTTAGGTAACAAATTTTACTTAATTAGCCGACTGATAGTTGCGACTATTTCCGTATACTATGTCCCCCTAGCCGTATAACTCAACTGCACCAACCGCATAACTGTAGCTTTAACGGCTTTTTTTAAACAAATCTGAAAAAAAAAAAAACCCAAAAAACCGGTATATATGTATGGAATATATAGTACAATACCTTTAAGAAAGGCAGACCCTGGAATGCGTCATGCACTGTTTTGATGCGATTGTCGTGTAGATCAACCACCTCCAACTTTGTTAGGTCCTTAAATAGAAGAGGAGGTAAATATTCAAGTCTATTGTTTTGCAATCGCAGTTTTCTCAGGTTTTTTAGAGTCGCAAAAGCACTCTCCTTGATGAAATTAATTTGATTTTCAGAAAAGCTCAACGTCACCAATGTACGTAAGGACTGCAACTCGTTTCCAATGGTCGTGACGAAATTTTCCTGAATTCTCAGGTCTCTGAGCTGCTGCAAAGCAGAAAGGGCCCGAGGCACAGTCGCAAAGCGAGTCTTTACAAATTCGATTATCTTTAGCCTTTTCACGCCGAAAAAAGCTTGATCTTCAATTAACCGGACGGGAGAATAGTTAATCATTAGAACCACGACAGTTATGTTACGAAACCAGGACGAAGGCAGCGTGTCCACTTGGACGTTGGAGAAGGTAAGTCTTCGGATCATTGTCCCCTGAAGTTTTGCCAACTCTCCCGACAAGTCCACGTCGCTCTTGACGCGCTGACACAACACAGTGGCGCCGGCCTGAAGAATTCTGCAGTCACACTGTTCAAGACGAGGGCACGTTGTGTTCACTCGACGCCAGTTCTTGCTTTCACAAATGCAGCTCAAGCTCACCACAGAAAGCACAATACAAAGCGCACGTGTTCCACTGCAAGACATTCTCCTATCAATTGGAATGAGCACTGAAAAATATCCCCGCACAAATCTTCAACGTTCCAAGCACTTATATGAGTAACGTCAGTGTTCAATATCCAAGGACGCTGAAATTCATGCCAGATAAAACGTTCTGGCGTATCTGCAAAATAGGATTGGAGTTTGCTGTCAAAGCTAGGTCACTTACAGGTCGTAGTAATCGCACACCTCGTAGCTCGCTCAGATACACTGGTGGTATGACGGCCAGTTATCAAACTTTCCGAACCAACTCGATCACAAAACTAATCAGAAAAAAAAACACTTATTGTGCGCATAAGCGAGCAGTCAATCTTTTTGTGCCTTCAATGGTAGTAAGCCAGCATAACACTGACATTAAAACAATCAGCATATATAAATAACACAAAACAGTTTCCACGTTTTCTGAAATTGTACGTGTACACTAATTGTCAACGCTCGTAATGTAGAAGGTGCATGTTTGACAAGAAACTCTGTTTTCAAGTAATCGACCTTGCGTCTACTTTGTATAACTCTTAGAGATATCTAATCAGTTTATGCATACATTGTACACAATCTGGCGCAGATACGAATTAAAACAAATGTGCTGAGATGGCCAACCAGATCAACATCGATGCTTACCTCACAGACCACTATTTTGACATGAAACTGATAGCTGGTGTAAACCTAACATGCTCTCTCTACGTGAGTCGGTAATTCTTTTCTCTTTTCTTTTTTCTTGCAGGTTAAAATTTTACAACTAATTAGAAATGCGTAGCTTGTACTACAACAATGTTCTTCGTCCTTCTGAAAGCCGTCTAAACATAAAATTATGTGATTATAGTAGACTTGGCCTTCGGCTCAAGAAATTAGGTGCGGCCTATGAGAGATATCGGTAAATTAGTCTTAGAAAGAGACGCATTCTATAAAAATGGACTGTAAAAAATGTTACTTAACCGCGTAGGAACTTTTTGACACGAGGCGTCTTGATAGATCACATATGTCCACACTCCTGAAAATAAAAAAAAATGTATATATTTTTTTAATGAAAGATAGAACATTGCATACATTGTAATATCTACCAAAACAACAGTACCTTGACCTGCTTCGTTGTTCACGAAAAATATAGATAGACCTAGTGCAACCCTTCGATAATATAATCGCACTAAGATCATTTCGTAGATATATTAGTTTATTTCAATTAATTTTATTATAATGTTCCTTATCAATTCAGCTATAATACATGGCGTTGCATAAATATTGAATAACAAAAAATAATAACAAATTAGGTAAAAGTCAACGACATGTATCTGAAAATGTTTACACATCATTGAAATATATTTTAATGCGCTAGTATTTATGTGACGGGAACCCATAGGGCGATCAATTACCAGTTATTTTAAACTACTGAAATGAAGAGCGGTATTTTTGTGCGATAACTATATGGAACAATGCAGGAGACTCAATCCTGAAATGGAAGAGGTTTTGTAGACATAGCATGCAAGGCACTCGATTGTGCATGCATATATATATATATATATATATATATATATATATATATATATATATATATATATATATATATATATATGCATGCATAATCGCAATCGCACATGGACAATATATGCATGCACAATCGAGCACATGCATGCATAGCATGCATGTGCTCGATTACAACAAGAGCAAGGAGAAAGGACAAGAGTACTCATTGCACTCTTTATACACGAACTCAACTCTGTTACGTCACGACGCGGTGGTGGCGCGTCGAGCGCGCTTCCGGTCTGGGGCTGTGGGCCGAAGTCACCATGCGAGACGTGCATTAATGCGTTGTTTTGAAAGAGACCAGACAAAAACCTGCATTCTCGTCAAAACACCGCGACTGGGGCTGTACTCAAAGAGTCGAGAAAGGTTTGAAGGTCAGTTTTTAGTTGCACGGTTCCTCCGAGAACGTGGATATGTGCCGTGAAAAGGGCAAACCAGACGCCGTCGAACCGCGATTGCTTGGGCAACACTTTGGGTTGAATTCACGGATACTTGTCATCAGATTTATTTGTTTTGTTCCAACAATATAAACGCAAGAAAACCGCCAAGTTGCACGGACCACCTGCGGACTACGTTCAGTGCGTCTTCAAGTTCAGACGGCCACCTGATCGTTCGAACTGTCGTCTGCTCTTTCAAGCGTTTCTGCTTGTCATCTTCTCTTTTAGACGACGCCGGCCCGTAGACCAAACGTTGGCCTGGTGATTGCGATAATTATCAAAATACCTTTAAGTTTGAAGGTTGGTTGGTGTAAGCAGGCTCGATCTAAACAGTAGATACAAGATGTTGATTATTGTTACCAGTGGCCATCATCGACCTGTTACCGATCCTGCTTGCGATTTTCAGTATCGACCTCGACCATCTCAGCTGCGGCTCACGCTTTTCCAGCCCCAGAGGCGTCGCGACTGAAAATTGCGAGCGGAATCTCATCATGCGAATCGGGCTTTAGCGTCCATTCTGTGGCGTCCACGCGGAATGAATCGCTGCGTGGCACATTATTCACGTGAAGTTTTGCGGTGTAACGAGCCTTTGTATTTTCGCTGAGGTCGCTCAAGTAGTAGATATTGCCAGGAAGACGTAGTATTATTAATTCCAACGGGAAAAAAAGCACGGGGACTCATAACGACGCCGACATCGCATATTTCAATGGTTTGTTTATGGGCGACAGCGAGCTAGGTTCTTGCCCACACTCAATCGCGCATGCGCGACGCCGGTGGTGTCCGCTAGGGGCGCTCTGGTTTGTTGGTAAACATGAGTTGGTCTATTACCTGAAAACATTTATTTCGCGCCACACGCTCCACTTCACTGATCATATGTAGCACAATCGACGAGAATCTCGCATTTCTATAAAAGAGGATACTCACGTTACCTTCTCACTTCTCTTGTTGGCCTTCCTTAAGCACAGTTTTAGTTCCGAAGCTCCTTCGTACGACTTAATTCGTGGAGAGACTTTAGTGTTCAAGCAAAACTCGAACACGACCGGCCTTATCAAAAGCAAACACGATCACGGGACGTCCGCTTGCAGCGCATACCGCAACGAGGACGCAATGTCTTTGCTATCTCGGACTTGCAATCTACGAACTTCCAAGAATCAAAGTAGGAGAGTCAAATGATAACTAAACACGCTAGAATAGAATGTCAGGTCCAAACCACATAAAGCGATTTTTAAAATAAATCTCCAGAAATATATTTTGGGTGCTAGTCCCCGGTTTCTATCGGCTGGAGTATAGCAAAGCCGTCGGGTGTTACATGAGGCAGAGTTTGGCGCTCAGCACCGTGTTTTTTTTTTGTGTTTTTTTTAGATTATAATGTAGGTGTTTGTTTCCGTTTCACGCTGTAACAAATATTATAATTAGCACATGTGTGTCATGTTTTACGCCGTAGTTTTCATCAAATATTCAGTCAAATACTTTCAACATATATATATATATATATATATAGGGTGTTTTTTTAAGCTTAACAGATTTGTTTTAAAAAAGCATGAAAGTTACACTTATCCGCTTGTGGAGGTGAGTTATACGGCCAGGGGGACATATTATAAGGGGCTAATCGTAACGATCAGTCGGCTAATTAATTAAAATTCGTTAATTAACTTTTCAATTAATGAAAATGGACATACGGTTCCAATTAGAAACTTGCTCAGCGTCATCGAAAACCACTACTTAACTTCTTTTCAGAAAGACTTTGAGCGCGTGAGAAGCGTAGTAGTGCACTAAAGTTACCACTCGTAGAGCAGGTATGTACATACAAAGCTAGCGGTTGCGGTAAGGCGCCCGCGCGGCTTTGCCGTCTCTTATCTACCCCCAGCCTTGTACCTGCTCCACGAGTAGTAACTTTAGTACCAGGGATGGGCAAAATACATGCAAATATGTATCGAAATACAAATACAAAATACTTCGTCAAAAAAGTATTTAATTACAAATCTAATTACATTTCCAAAAAAAGCATTTAAATACAAGATACAAATACAACCAAATGTATTTGGTCTCCTCCAAATACTTTTCCAGATACATTCCTCAAAATCTGCGTCAGCGACTTCAGGGCACCTGCAACGGGTTTCTGGGTATCTCATTTTACCTTTGCATCGCACACTCGGGAGTTAGTGTGCGAGGCTCTAGTACCGTAATAGAAATATAATCACAAAAAAACAAATGTAATCAGCATGGACGTAATAGGTGAAAAAAAAGTACAGAGCTTCAAGCAGCTTTTTTTGTCGATTACATTTTGGTATGGACCAACAAAGAACCGAGACGACCAAGACGCGCAGCACTAGCTAGAGAATTTTTTATTGTTGCAACTCGCACCAGTTACAAAAATCTGGACGACCCGCGCACTTAGAATGTTCCAGGCAAAAATATGGATGGAAATCAGGCTGGAAAGCATCACAAGTTGTTACAGGCACTTATTTAGCCAGTCTGCCTGTGAACGTCGATTTCGTCACTATTCTTGCCCTAAACTAGCACCGTAATCACAAAGTCACTAAACGCTTGTGCTTGATTGAGAGACACTACATTCGGTGCAGAACGTAGTTTCCTTCCTGCTCTGGACAGTGACAATAAATTTGAGAATGTATTTTCGCCCACAAAATTGTATTTAATTACAAATGTATTTGAAATACCCACGTTTTAGTACTTCAATACACACGCCAAATACATTACCCAATTTGTAATTAAATACAAATACAAAATACACAAAGTATTTTAAATACGTATTTCAAATACTTGTATTTCAAATACTGCCCATCCCTGTTTAGTACAATACTACGCTACTCACGAGCTCAAAGTATTTCTGAAAATGACTGATTTAGTGGTTTTCGATGACGCTGAGCAAGTTTCTAATTGGAACCATGTGTCTATTTTCATTAATTAAAAAGTTAATTAACAAATTTTAATTAATTAGCCGACTGATCGTTACGCTTAGCCCCCTATAATATGGCCCCATAGCAGTATAACTCACCTCCAGAAGTGGTATAAGTGTAGCTTTCACGCATTTTCTAAACAAGTCTGTTAAGCTTTAAAAAAACGCACCCTATATATATATATATATATTAAAAAACGTGCTTAATCTGTCTCTACAGCTATTTTTATTTAGGGCCAATTTGAATGGAACCTGATCACCCGTAGTTATTTCTCCGTGAAATCAAACAATAGATTCGGAAGATAGAAAACCAAACTAATTTTAACTGAGAAGCCTTTCCCAGTTGAAATTCGAGAGGGAGGGGAGGGAACTTTCTTTTTATTTCCAGCACGGTGAGGGGCATACGAGGAATGACTGCGTCATGCATCGTTCTCAAACGTTATTTCATCCCCCCAGAGCAATTCAACAGCACGTTTCTGCGTGAACTAGCGATATAGATTATCTGGTAAGCTACTTTCTTTGAACACGTGCTTCTGCTCTCACGCATTCGACCCCATCAAACTGTGTGCTGGCCGACCTTCGAACGACCCCACGTTTGGCGTGTTAAATACAAATCATCTTATTCGTTATTTGTATTCGGGTAGAAAGCAAAAACACTCGACAGTTTTCTTCGCGTATACTCATATACTGCCACAAATACTAATCCTGTAGGTATACTTTTTTTGTGACATTGCTGGTGGAGGTTTGCGCTAGTGTCATTTAAATAAGTAAAAAAAATGCAATTTGGTTTATACTTTTTGGCAATGTATACACCCAGGTTTCTATTGTATCCCGAACCTTATGTGCCTTCAAAAATGAAGTAAGGGGAAAAAGACGCAAGATTGGCCTTTTCACGAGCACCTTTTTATTATTATGCTTGAAGTAAAATACTAAGTCTCAGCTTTACAAAACCCATCAAGCAATAGTTGACGATCCCACCCTATAAAGATCCTTCTAGGTTTGTCCCAGCTCGCAAAGCCCAAACTGAACGACCAATGTTTTTGCTTGCCTGTCTACATATGCTTTGGTATACGCTAAAGTGCAGATGACAATAGTTGTACTGCAGCACACAACTTATCATTTTTCCGCGAATTACAATTAAATCACCATGTCGGTGAACAATAGCTACGTTGAGCAAAAACCGCCAAAATCCAAATATGCTGACCACTCTACCAAAACGGAGTTTTCATTGTGAAATGCGTCAATGTTCTTGACGCTGATTTTGACCTGCTTGTGACGAACGGTGTTAAGGCCAGTTCGGACACTTGCGTTCGACTGCAGTGCGTTCGGTTACGGAAGCGCGACTGCGGAATGATGCAGAGTGCGCTTGCGGATGGCTTGTACACACAGTTGCGTCGAAGCGCCGTCCGCCGCAGTCAAGAACCAATAGGAGCTTGCTATCGGCTCTTGCGGCGCACCAATCAAAACCACGACTTGCAGCAAATGAAGTCAAGCAACTATGATCACAACGAACATGTCGGCGTCCGACGGTAGCGTCGGTATGGCCGCGACTTCTCCGTGCTCGTCGGGGTTGTCGAGACTGGAAGAAACAGAAAACCCGAAGAATCTCTTCCTAGTCTGCGTGCGGGGATACATTGCACAGGCGGGCAGTGAGGCGAACTGGCCCCTGGTTGTGCGGGTTACCACCGCGATGATTTTGCTCCAGCGGCGACGCCACTCCGGCCGCGAGTGGGTGCGCTCACTCCTGCGCTCCCGCGAAACTTTGGGGGAGTACCACCATCTGGTGCGCGACATGTGCCTGGACCACGGCTTTCAATACTTCCGTATGACGAGGCAGAGGTGAGTACGTAGAAGAAACTTCAGAAGCAGACGAAGAAGCAGACGACCCCAACCGGAAAAAACGGGACGAACCGGATGTAGTTGCCAGCGCCGCGCATGCGCTTCGGCGTTCTTTTTTTTCGCGAATTGCGATTGGTCCACCGCAACCGACCGCATGCCCCTCCGCACTGGAATGTTGAGCCTGGCCCAACTCTGTTGCGGTGCGTTGCGGAACGCCAAGCGTCGTCGGTTGCTAGGCGACCCGCTTCTGCAGTCGACCGCAAGCATGCCGTTCCGCACTGGAACGCAGTCAAACGCAAGTGTCTGAACCGGCCTTAACCGAACGCACCGCAGTCGAACGCAAGTGTCTGAACCGGCCTTTAGCGCCTTCAAGTGCGATTCATGCACTAAACGTCGGAGTGAAGAGGCGTCAATAGTAAGAATCGCGTCGTCGGCTACGTCGGCTCAGGATAGCGATGGGAAACCAAGAGAATCACCGTCGAAAAGCTGTAGTCTTTCTTCACAAGCTGGTCCAAAAGCTCTGCTACAAGATCGATGGTCTGTCCGAGGAAGTGCGGTCCTTACGAGCTGAGAACGAATCGCTGCGAACGCATCTGGTGCGGAACAGTGAACTGCTTTGGAGATGCCTCGCTGCTGAAGAGACCGGCCAGGCCCAAGTATGGCAGAGTGAGCCTGCACCATCTTACTCTAAAGCGCCGCAACCCAATTCATCTTTCTGTTTGGCGAGCACAAGTTGGCCCACTGCCTCCGAGGCTTCCGAGCGTCTTCTGGGGGTGAACGTCCGGAGCGTGTGTTATGCACGAGAGCGGCGAGACATCCTCCGAATGACGAGCGGCGTCGGGGCCTACCCGGCATTCGTCGCAATTCAAGTGGTGACGATGTGGGCATGCCACTGTTCTCGGACCAGCGAGGACACACGAGTGCCGACAACTCCAAGAGGGCGGTCTCCCCTGTTGTAGACGAAGACGGCTTGCAACAAGTCATGCCACGCCGACGAGTCAAGGCTTCCGTCGGTTCGGCAAAAGCCAGTAAGTTGCGTGTGGTGGCCAAACCTCCTAGGAAGAGGGCTATTTTTGTTTCTCGGTTACATCCAGAGACCACCAGCGAAGAACTTTTAGAAATTGTGTCTAGTGCTGCAGGATGCCAGAGCTTCTCTTGTACTAAACTGGCAGCTAGGTATGATACGTATGAT